AATGGCCGCGGACCACGTGGAACAGGTGGAAAAATGGCCGCGGACCACGTGGAACGGGCAGAAAATGGCTTGTAAGTCGAGGTGAATTCGTAAGTAGAGGTAAATTTTTGGGGCTGGAGCTGATTGTATCTCGAAAATTTCGTAAGTAGGGGCGTTCGTAAGTAGAGGTACCACTGTACTTTAATGTTAGTTTTTTAATAGGAACAACTGCAAACAGTGATCAGATAAACTTCCATGTGCTTTAATTTGATTTACAGTATATGATTAATTCATTTTGAACTAACTTTAAAAGGAGTTGTAGGATTTATATAGAAAGAAAAGAACAATTTCCATTTTTCCATAAAATATAATCCAGAAACATAATAAATGGTGTTTCAAAGAACTAAATTGTTGTTGAAGTGAAAAAGCTTCTTTCAGTCAGTTGGTACAGTATAACTTTGATCCTTATACCATAAAATTCAGTCTTAGAGGATGTTGTTTCTAAAGGTTGGAGGCATAGTTCTGAAAATATTTAGAAGTTTTTATTTATTTTCAGGAAAATGAAAAAGAGTTGGAAGAAACTGAAGAATATAAAGATGCACAATCAGTACTGGAATCAATAAAGTTAGAAGCTTAGACTGATTTTTCACCACTTTATGGATATGCCTCAGTGTTGGGCCCATTGTTACTTTTTAAAGTTTGGTCATTGTTGTATATTTGTTCAAGTAGTGATAAGAATGATAATGTGCTAATTTGTATTTTATGCCATTACAAATGATTCTGTCCTTTTTATTTAATTGTTTTGGAAAGCATTTTACTGAAAGTTGTACAATCATACCAAGTAAAAATAAAAACTAAAAGCAAACCAAAGGGGCATTTTTCTAATTATTTTTAGTACAAGTAATGTGTTCAGGATTGAATCAGGCTATCAGCTGCACTCTCTACCCCAAATAATGAGTATACTGTTCCTGATTCTCATTTGCATGTAATTTTCATGAGTTTGCTAATAGCCAGAATTCAAGATTTTTGTCCAGTGAAGACATTGATGGGCAACATGCTTCAGTAAGTTTTCCCTCAGTATAACTGTCAACAAAGAAATAGAAAGTTTGATTCAAAACGTAGAGTGAGGGGAAATTAAAATTGGACCTATTTACTGCTGCTTTGCCCACTTGACTTGCCTCCAAAGAATTTCACAATCAGTATCATTGCCCTCTTGTGTCACATCCAAACAACAGCTTTTTTTTTACAATGGTTTGCTCTAAGTCTTCATTACAAATGCTGAGATGTCATGTTTCTCTAACAATGAGGAGCAGAAGGCACAGGCCCTTTAAACTTTGCACAGCACAATGAGCTTGTTCTAATGATTCTTCAAATTTATTTGCTGTTTTGTCCATCATCCTCCAAAAGATCACTTAAAAAAAAAAAAAACTATAAAAGGACTGTTGGGGATTGGGTTGAAGACATATGATAAATGGTATTTGATTAAATATTTAGTTGTGGAAGTCAGACATCACTGGATTTCTCCTGTGTATGTAAGAGCGATTTGTTTAAAATGTATGCCAACAGAAGATTAAAATTGGTTTGTAGGTCTTAAAAAACAATTTCAACACTATTTCCTCTCTGCTCTGCCAACACTGTACTAGTTTCAAAGACAATTCCTTTAATTGTTGCTGGGCTGGATTCAAAGGACTGATACACCAAATGTCCAGTATAGGAATGCCAAGATCAACCTCCATAGAACATCATTAGCTCTGTAGTCCAGTGTGGCTGGCTTATTGTACAAGTAGTCCTTGGGTTACGTCCATTTGTTCAGCAACTGTTCAGAGTTACAGCAGTGCTGAAAAAATGAACTCACAACTGGTCCTCAAAGTTCTGGCCATTGCAGTGCCCCCATGGTCATATGTTCAAAATTTGGGCCAGCCCACATTTATGACCACTTCCTGCTGCTCCACCACCATGGTGGCACCCACCCCCCTGCCCACACACTCTAGCACCTGCCTATGGCATCCACCTCCCCTCCCTAGCACCTGCCTGCAGCACCTGCCCGTAGTTTTCACCTGCTGGCCTACTTGCCTGGGACTCTCTCCTGTCCCCACTTAATGACCCATGTGGTCCTGGGGTTGCGACAGTAACTGGGACTGCTGGGATTGTTGTCTCTAGGTGATGCAGTCACATAACATTGCGCTTTATGACCACATCACTTAGCAATGGCAGTTCTAGTCCTAACTGCTGTGTAACCCGAGGGCTAACTGTATTCCATCTAGAGGTGTCAGCTGGGACATGATTCCTGTGGATAAACCACTAAATTGCAAAATTCTGACTTTCAGAACTTAAATGCTTCAGATTCCAACCTCTTAAAATTGAGAGTTCTGTTAATATAATTCATTAAGTTGCCATTATCCAGAGTGCCCCATATAACTTCCACCACTTCCCATGTCACCTTAATAACACCTGTTTCAAGGAAAGCCTTTTTCCAGGAGGCTGTCATACCTTGAATAACATCAGCAGAAGATGTGAGCATTCTGGATAACATAATACTTCAATATGGCTGTTAAGGTCTCTAACTATGCTGAACAATATTGCCATTTATTGCAATGATTTCTTTTTCAATTGTGGCTTTTGCTCTTTTCCATTGCTGTGGCAGAGAGGACCAAAGAATTTTCTTTTGTAGCCCTGGGGTAGTGGTAGAGGGCAATTTTTCTGCCAGTTCTTAATCCTTGCCCACTTCAATAAACAGATCACTGCAGACCTCCCTCTAAGCTTCATCCTTTTTCTATTCCTTCCTTCCTGTAGGGTGGCCATGGCTTCTGATGGTTCAAGAATGGCTCTCCGTGGATTCATTGAGTGAATTTCAGATAGCTGGAGTTCCTGTTCTTTAGGTTCAGCCATTTAACTCCAGCCTCATCAGGAGGTGTGACTTCCTGCCCA